TGCTATGTAATAAAACCAATGATGCATTTAATGTGGTTGATTTGTACTTTAAAGAGGTGGTTCGTTTGCATGGTATTCCTAAAACTATCGTTTCTGATAGGGATTCCAAGTTTTTGAGTTACTTTTGGAACACTTTGTGGAGTAAAGTTGGTACTAAGTTACTTTCTAGTACAACCCATCATCTACAAACGGATGGGCAAACGGAGGTGACTAATAGAACTTTGGGTACTTTGTTGAGGGAGTTGGTTAGCAAAACTCAAAAAGATTGGGACATCAAATTGCACATGCTGAATTTGCCTATAATCGTTTCCTATGTATGTTACAGGTCACTCTCCTTTTGAAGTGGTGTATGGTGTGAATCCTTACATGCCTTTGGATTTGATTCCATTGCCAAAGGATGAATTAGTTCACAAGGATGTTAATGACAAGTTGAAGACCATGATGAAACTACACCAACAAGTTCGTGAGAAGATTGAAGCTGTGAATGAGGTGTACAAACAGAAGTCCAACAAGCATAGGAAACCCCATGTCTTTCAAGATGGTGACTTGGGGTGGGTGCGTATAAGGAAAGAATGTTTTCCTAACAAAAGGAAAAACAAGTTGATTCCAAGAGTTTAAGGTCCTTACAAAGTGGTGTCACGATGATAATGCTTATAAGGTAGATTTGGGAGGAGACCATGGAGCGCATGCTACCTTTAACGTGGGAGATCTTTCACCTTATCTTGATGATGATGGCCTTGATGAATTGAGGTCAATTCCTTTCAAAGGGGGAGGGGATGATACAAGCATGGATCATGAAAGCCAAAAGGTGGTGGATTATTGATTACTAATGGGCTAGAATGTGGTTTGGGCTCAATGGTTGGATTGTGCATGGTAACTGACGTTGGATTAGGGTTGCATGAAGGCTAGGACAAAATTTTTAAGGCTTCTTAAGTGCTCAAAACCGTTACTTTTTGCTTCATAAAGTCTCGTAGCCGTTTTTGATAATCTTTGGTGGAGTATGGTTACACTTTAATGCTTCTTATGGCTCCTTAATGGAGCATGGACGGTTTTTTTCATTCTTAAGTGTGTTAGACGTTTTTTTCTGTTGTTTCATGAGTTTCCTTAATTTTCATTTGCTAGTTTTGATGAGTAGTTGGTTGGTTGGCTTGTAACCACCAACTTTATAGTAAAGGCTTCATATAAGCCAAGTTTTGCATGAAAAAAAGAGATAGACGAAATTTTAATCAAAAGAACCTTTGTTCACCTTGAATTATTGTTATAGTTCATTATTTGTCATGGTTAAGACGTGTTCTTGACTTGATACGAATTTAATCCAATAGGTCTTGGATTGTCTTCACCAGTATACAACTTAATAGGTCTTGAGTTGTTACTAATCTATTCATTTCTTTCCATACATTTGTGGTTGTTATTCTAGCTTAATTTACCTAAGCACTGCCCTACTCACTAAATCAAGCCCATACACGCATCAATATATATATATATATATATATATATATATATATATATATATATATATATATATATATATATATATATATATATATGGAAAAGTTCAATAGAGAACCATTATTAATCAAGGAACCAAGGAATCAATCCAAAGCGTCGAAATTTAAAGCGATCAACGGCAAAAGGAATGGTTGTAGACTTTTACATTTGACGCACATGCACCAGATTATAACAAAACTCACTTCCTTTTTTCATTAAAAAAAAATTTTAGGGCATGTTTTTTATCGAAAAAAAACCCGAGTATACCGTTGTTCACGATTTTTCGTTTTCTTTCCAAAGAGATCCATGATGATATATAAAAAAATGAATTTTTTTTTTCAAAAAAAACTCACTTCATTTTCTTTGTTGAAAAGTTAAGGTCTATTTTTTATAGAAAAAAAATTAATAAATATATCAAAATTCATGTTTTTTTGTACTTTTTAAACGTAGATTCATATTCATGTAAAAAACGATTTTTCAGTTCAGATTCACATTGTGAACCTGTTCATATTCATATTGTGAACCTTCTCAGATTCACAGTGTGCATAATAGTAAGTCAGATTCACAGTGTGAATCTGAACTGATCGAGCTTTTTCACATTGTGAATGTTAAAAATTGAAATATTTACAGTTTAGATTCACAGTGTAAATCTACATTGTTCGAGGTTTTTTTTAGTCGATGTTGATGTTTATTAATAGAATACAAAAAATTAATATTTTTGGTATAATTAGTTTTTTTTTTTTGATAAAAATAAACTTAAATATTGAAAAAACTAACAAAATGAAGTGAGTTTTTTTTCGAAAAAAAATCGTTTTTTATATATCAACATGGATCCCTATGGAAAGATGACGAAAAATCGAGAACAACGGTATATTCGGTTTTTTTTTATAAAAAATGTGGCCTAAAAAAAATTTTAAACAAAAAAAAGAGGTGAGTTTTTTTGGTAAGGAGGTGAATTTTTTGGTATAATCTGGTGTGTGTGCGTCCAATATAAAAGTGTACATCTATTTCCTTGGCCGTTGATCATTTTGATTTCTGACACTCACGATTGGTTCATTGGTTCCTTGTTAATTATGGTTCTCTATTGAACATCACTCTATATATATATATATATATATATATATATATATATATATATATATATATATATATATATATATATATATATATATATATATATATATAAATATATAAAAAGGTTATTTGTTATAGTTAGGTAGATTAGACAAAGTATAATTTTATAGGAGAAAAAAAAATACAACACTATAATACTTAAGCAGGTAAAAATGTGCTGCTATCAAAAATTTGGTATATATTCTAAAATTCAATCACAAATTATAGATAATTTTGGAGCAAACATCAAAATTCAAATACCAAATACCTCAAGAACGATAAAGAAATCATTAGCATCTAAAGAGGTGGACTTGTACTCTACTAAATGTCAATAAGAATAACTTCAAGTATTCAAGCATAGGTAGACCGTAAATACTCCACTTGATCTGGTAATTCTTGCAAATCGTCTTCTCAATCAACGTACTAAAGGCGTTCAAATATCTTCAAAGTCCATCCCTGTACACTTACTCGGTCTTTTTTGTTTTATTGTATCGTGAATGTGTGCATGATTCAATGTAAAAAAAATCTAAAAATAATTTGTTATTTAATTGGAGTTAAGACCACTCTAAATCCATCACTTTCTTGTATATTTTTCACACAAACCATTTTCAATTTATACAACATTTGAAATCTGTGTATTCCAAAAATAAAACCAGACAACCCTCAATGTACCTTTGGTAGCAAATCGCGTGAATGTTCTTCCGATTGAGCATTCGGTTTACCGACCACAAATTGATTCATCTTCGATTTTGCACCGACCCCAAGCTCAACCCCAACATTTTTATTATCAACAAATACCACAACAATTTTACACAATGCAACATCTTAGCCCAACCGCGTTTCAAAATTTTCCCCCTCCCCGAATACGTTCTGTCACCGGAAGTCGAATTTGTCCGGGAAACTCAACCTGATCCTAAACCGGTTGCCAAGCCCAAACCCAAAAATTTTCGGGAAACCCAAGCGAACCATCCAACTCTTAAAAACATGGAAAAGGAAAAGCATCGGTTCGAAAAGAGAAAATGGCGTCTCAACAATGACAACCGGACAACGAGATGGTTTTAGCACAATCATGGGTCGATATTTCATAGGATTCCAAAGAAGGTAACGCGCAAAAAGATGAACATTTTTGGTGACGCATACGGGAGCGATTTTATATGGTGATGGACCGTGGCGAGTACCGCACTAAAGATCAGTGTACTAGCAAGTTTCGCAAGATGAACAAAACTGTTACTAAATTTAACGGCATTTTTAACAATTTGGTAACACAATGAAAAAACGGAGAATGCGATGAACAAATTTGAGAGACGGCCCTTAAAAACTTCTTGTTAGACAATAATTAAAAGTCGTTCAAGTTTATTGATGTTTGGAGATTTTTATCCAAGTCCCTGAATAGATAAAAGAGTATGGTAGCAAAGAAGATGTTGAGAAAAGAACCAAAGTTTTCGAGACGGGTTACATTATTTCATCATATGCGCATTTTAGGGTTGATTTGAATGAAATGGATGAGCTCGAGCTTGAAGAGATAGTTCGACCAATGGGTTGAGATAAGGCGAAAAAGAGAGGCTCGTCGCTACTAATTTGAAAATTTGTAATTTAAATTTTCAAAGTCGTTTAAGTTTTGAAAAGAAGAAGTTAGACGAAAAAAAAAATCAAGAAAGGAGAAGCAAGATATGGAATTTTTAATAAAACCTTTCCACCATCTCACCTAAAACAAGTTTAATATGAGGGTTAGAGTGGAGATCATAAAAATATTACAAGGAGTGTCTTTATTTAAAAATTGTAGTTTTTATGTTTTTTTTATTTATTTGTTGTTTTTTAGAAATGTAATCGATTCACCTAAATTAATTTATTTAAAAATTGTTGTTTTTATGTTTTTTTTATTTATTTGTTGTTTTTTAGAAATATAATCGATTCACCTAAATTAATTAAGTGCTTTTCTATTTATTAAATTACATTTTATTCAATTAAAAAAAATAAAAATATAGTATGACACCTATTAGTTTTGTGGGATGTTAAAAAGAATGGCGTGCTAATATTAAACATCAAGTTATTACGATGTGAAACACAAATTCATGTGATCTCATTAGGGTTTTACATTCCTGTGCTGGCGTTGCTAGGGTTTTAAGTTATTACGATGTGAGCTATAATTAAACTTCAACTATGACAAAAGATACATAAAATAATATAATATAATAATACTATGCAAATAAGATTCAGACACGATAAAAACAAAAATACCATATCATCCACCAACCTGTCAAAAATAAACCCAGTCTTCAAAAGTTTAAACCATCACCAAGTTTCTCTCATCATGCATATATAGGAACCAACCGGTAAAAAAAAAATCAACTAAAAAAGAAAAATGAAAAAAAATTATTTGGTTCTCAAATCTCAACGACTCAAAGCTTGTCCTCAAAATCAGACAACGGTGTCATCTGCTCCTTGAGACCTTTCCTCTTACGAATCTGAAGCACAAGTGTATTCGCCTGTGACCCCACTTCCAATGGATCCGACCCCATCATATCCCAATGATCAAACACACACTGAGGAAACGCTTGCCCTGAAGTAGACGCCCTTAAAGCACCCGAAAACCCAAAACTCTCAACAACAGGCAGATACGCTTTGATATTATACAAAGGTGTCCCAGGCCTCTGCATCTCCTCAAACACATGCCCACGTCTCTGATTCAACACACTGTAAATCCCACCAAGTGCCTGCTCAGGTGCCTGAATCTCCACCAAGTAAACCGGCTCAAGCAACCGCGGCTTTGCGGTCAGCTGCGACGCATAAATCACACGCCGGGCAGTCGGAATCACCTGCCCGCCACCACGATGAATGGCATCCGCATGGAGGACCACATCACACACTTCAAAACAAATCCCTCTCATGTTCTCTTCTGCTAACGCCCCTTCTTTTGAAGCCCATTGAAACCCTGCAACAACCGAATCCTTGATTTCATTCAAATACTGAACTCCTTTACACATATCAACAACCATATTGGGACCCGTTGTTTCAGGTCCAAAACACCAGATTTTTTTCGCCAAATCCTTGTCCCATCCGAATTCTTCAGACAAAATCTTCCCGCGAACTTTCGGGTCGTCTCGTGGACCGACTCGCCCCTCGTCGATTGCTTCAGCAAGCCCGTCTTCCATCGGTCTCGCTTCCATGTATAACCGATTGTGCTTGTTTGGTGACTTGCTCATTACAGTCCTTGAAGATTTTTCCAAAACGGTTTCACGGAAAGACACAACAGGGTCTGAAACAACAATTTCAGCTCCACCCATGAAGTCATCTTGTAAATCTTTCAAACAAATTTCCAAATGAAGCTCCCCTGCACCCGCAATGATATGTTCACCTGATTCTTCAATGGTGCAAACAACCATGGGGTCTGACTTGGCTAACCGTTTCAGTCCTTCAACCAGTTTTGGTAAATCAGATGCCACTTTGCACTGAACCGCGACTCGAACCACTGGCGAAACCGAAAACTTCATGGCTCGAATCGGATGCGCATCGACTTCTTTTTCGTTTGTTAAAGTTGCATTTTTCGTGATGAATTGATCCAAACCAACAAGTGCAACCGTGTTTCCACACGGGACATCTTCAACTGTTTCTTGTTTCTTACCCATCCAGATAACAGTTCTTTGAACACTTTTCACATACAGATCTTTCTTCTCACCCGGGACATAATTCGGACCCATGATTCTCACCTTCAAACCGGTTGAAACTTTCCCGGCAAAAACACGACCAAATGCAAAAAACCTCCCTTTATCAGAAGCCGGAATCATTTTGGATACATAAAGCATAAGTGGGCCATCAGGGTCACAGTTTCTAATAGCATTTGCATACATGTCATCTAAAGGACCTTCATAGAGATTCTCAACACGGTATCTTTGTGCCGTGCAGTGTGAGGTGAAGGAAGATGAAAGATCATCATTTCTAGTAAAGCAGTTGCTGCAGGGAGCCATGTCTGCATGACACGCTTCATCAATGCTTTTCCCATTAACTCTTTCTCATCAGACTTCATGGTGACACCAAGTTTAGTCAACATAGGCCACAATTGATCTTTCTGATCATTCATACATGTGTTGATGATCTGCTTGATGGGTTCATAACAAAACTGAACAAATCCACGTTTGCATGTTGAAGAACCAGTGCTTTTTGTTGTCCATTTTTTTGTTTTCGGGTCAAAAAAATTCTCACCCCATAGACGCTCCATCATCTTTGACTCATCAACACCAAACTTTGAGGCGTACATTTTTGCAAAATTAGTCAGAGTGAAAGCCCAACCGTGGAGCCCAGCTGAGAAAGCAACAGTACCTTTTTCAGGGTAAACCATGACATCACCAAGAAGCGGGTCCTCATATGTAGCCATGATGACATTTGCATTTTCAATAACCCTTTGGAATGTTTGATATGCTTCTTCACCATCCACCTGAAGTTCAAGGAAACACCTGTCCATTTTGTTGACAGTCAGCACAGGGCGAATCCTTTCTCCAAGTGCTTGTCGAAGGACAGTTTCTGTTTGGACACAAACGCCCTCAATGCAATCCACAACCACAAGTGCACCATCGGTGATACGGAGGGCTGCAGTGACCTCAGAAGAAAAGTCAACGTGCCCGGGTGAGTCAATAAGATTGATCAAGTACTCGTTTCCATTACGTTCTCCCTTGAAACTCTTGAGGGCTGCATCGGTCATTTCATAGTAAAGGGAAATGCCAGTGGATTTAATTGTGATTCCACGCTCTGCCTCGTCAGCACGAGTATCTGTCATCCGGACATCACCAGCAACTTCTTGTGCAATGATACCAGCAGCAGCAACAAGTGAATCGGTCAAAGTTGACTTTCCTGTTGAGGAATTAGTGGTGGCAGAATAAGGAGTAAGTATTCACCATTAATGTAACAAGGTATGCAATGTTATCAAAGCAGGTTTGAAGTAATATTTACAATTAGTATTAACAAACTAGAGATGATAATGAAAAAAATGAAACCATTATGTTAACAAAAGGAAATAAGAAAACTAGAATATAGTAATTGGAGCTTGCTTTTTACCATGATCAACATGAGCAATAACAGACATGTTACGGATGTTATGCTTGTAGTCCATGATCCTACGAAGCTCCTCAGCTGTGAACTTCACCTGTTACGTAGGAAAAAAAATTTAAGTAAAAATCTGGTAAGAGAACAAGCAAACTGTAAAAAAGTAGCTGCAAGTTTAAATTTGGTTACCATTTTGTCCAGCCTCAAGCAAAAAGCAGTGGTAGTGTGCCAAGTTCCTGCAAAAAACATGTAGTAATAAGCATATCAGGTAAAAACAAATTACTCCTAGACAGATACACCTCCAATAACGCATGAATGTGAAGTATAAATTGTATAAAACAAAGAATAACTCCAGCACAGAGACTGCAACAAAGATATTCATTAGGTGTAACATCGGTATGTTGTCTAAAACAACTTTCAAAGCAATGGTACAAAAATTAATGTTGTCTTTAATTTTATGCAGACTGCATCATATAGACATGTAATGTATTCGTTTGGCATAACTTGGACAAACTTTTATCACAAAAACCATTCTTATAAGGAGTGTTTCAGACACTAATACTAGAAGGTTAACTTTTGAAACCTTAAGATTAAATAATGTGATTCTTGATGTGTAATAAACCAAAAATTACTGGTCGGATTAGACAATAAACTTGTACAATGTTTGCGATCAATACCAAATCAATTAAAAACGAAATAAATTCATCAAATGGGAAGAAAACAGCAATTAGCTAAGAAATAGCACCGATACTATAAACAATCGTTAACTAGAGAAATCGTGCAAATTAGAAATAAAAAAAGATAAATTATACAGAATCAAACAAAATTAAAAATAATAAAAAATTGAACAGAGATCAGATGCGAAGGATGAAACGAATGAATAGGAATCGGTAGATGCTTACCGGGAATGAGGCGGCGAGGTAGCAGGTCCCAGTGACCTTTTGATTTGGGTGAACCTATAGATATCGAGTGAGGCGAGATGTGCCTCTAAACCCTATATATAGTACTAGGGTATTAGCGTTTCTCTAAGTTCGATGGGTCCATTGGGCTATTTAACAACCCACATGTTACATGTATGATCGCTAAAGTTACCATTCAATATGTCATTGTTCGTAGGGGTGTCTGGACAAACCTAAACTTAATAATTGAATTGACTATGATGTTTGTGTTATTTATATCTTATATAATTTAAGATGGGTTTTGTTGATTTGTCGTAAGAAGAGGATCTCATGGCCGCATGGTGTACCTAATTGAACTATATTTTGGAAAACTCGTCTCTATTATGTCTTGTTTTTCTGAGGTATCGTTCAATTGTGAGTGTATATTTCGTCGGATGTAGTTACCGTTTAACTTTAGATGTTAATGACAGCTTTTGATCGTCCTATAGTGGCAATTTTTAACATTCCATGCGGCCTTATGAATTGGTATCTTAGAAACCCAAGCCAAACAACAAAGAACAATCGGTTCATATGAGTTTGATTCAACAAACGAAAACCTGACTTGCATGATTCACAAGTGTAGTCAATTGCATGAGATAGATGGTGGTGCCCATGGATGTAAACAATGTCAAGAGGAGTAGAAGCGTTGACACATTCAATTAAGTTACACTTACAATACCCTTGGGGAAAACGTGACAAATGAAGCAAAATAAAATCATGCAGGTGGTGCCCATGGATGTAAACAATGTCAAGAGGAGTAGAAGCGTTGACACATTCGATTAAGGGCAAAAAAAATACTAACATGAGCTTTTGTGGAGAGTTGAGGAGAGGGAAGTGTGCGTAGTAGAAACTAACACGGGGTATGGAGAAGGGTTTATAATTGAATAGGTTGGTTTATAATTCACATACAATACAATGATTAACAAAAGTCGGTACATGTTTTCTGGTAAGAAGAAAACATGTTGAATTAAATTCTAACCTCAAAACCCTAACTACACTAAAGTATAATACTAGCATTAAGAAAATGAAAAACCTTTTGTTTTGGTTGGAACGTTTTGCTTCGATTGTACTGAGGTGGTGTGTTGTTGCTTCAATAACATTTCTTAAGGTGGTGGTGGTCAGTTGTGGTGGTAGTTGGTGGTCGAGAAAGGGAGTGATTGGCAATATAGAGAAATGGAGAAAATTTATCTAAAATACCGTAAGATTTTCAAGACATTACACCAAAGATTTTCAACATGTTTATTTGAAAGATTTTCAAGTCTTAATTGTTTTTTGGCAGGATCTGAATTTATAAGATCTGAAAAATATGAGATCTAATTTCTACGAGGGTTTGAATTTTAAGATCTTAAATTTTAACATGTTGTTTGGTTTGGAATCTCTGAATTGTTGTGTTGAATTATAAAAATGACCATTTTATCTTACTATATTATTTTTTGTTGAATTCAAAGTTTTCGTTTATAAATTAATCGAATCAACTTCTTGAATATATATATATATATATATATATATATATATATATATATATATATATATATATAGACACACACACACACAACACACACAATATAAAATCAAAATCAAGCATAAATCCAAATTGTAACATCTCATTTTCAAGAATGCTTTTGGGTATTAAATTGAAATTTATAAGTTTTGGGATTTTCTCTAGGTAGCGGCTTAAAGGTCGTGCGCGCGACAAGCTCGCGACATGAAGGGCCTGATGGGCCAAACTCTAGAGGCCTTAGGATTTAGGCCTATTTAAGTGCACATTTCCCTAGGGTTTCATCATTTGTCAGAGGATATTCTCTCATCCAAACCTTAGCCTCTTTGGTGCTTGTGATCTTATCTTAATCCTTTGGTGTGTTTTTTGAGGAAGAAGGTGGTGGTTTTGGTGCAAATGAAGTAGGATCCAACCAAGTTTCTTCACTCTTAACATCTTTCAGACCTTGAGAAGGTATAAAGTTTCGACCTTTATGATTATATATTGCTAGATCTAGGGTATTAGCGTTTCTCTAAAGTTCGATGGGTCCATTGGGCTATTTAAGAACCCACATGTGTGAATTTCAATCGCATAACATTGGTTTTTCATTCCAGGATTAATAAATCAAATTTAAAATTAACATATTCTTAATTATTGCTTCCTTAATGGTATCTATGATCGTTAAAGGTGATCATGACTTAAAGTGGTAACATATTTTTTGATATGTATATATTTAATCAGTGAGTCTTTTTATCCATATTTTCTCATTAAACTTGTTAAATTGTTCCAAAAATATCTTTATGACCTACAATCATAGGTTTAGCCGGTCTCCGACGAGGTTCTGGTCATTTTCTTCGGCGAGTCTCCGACCAACATGGGTTTTTCGGTGATTTCAAACCCACTTTGAATTCCTTATTCTCTGTGTGAGTTTTTAGCTACAACCAACAAACATGTTGCAATATCTTGTTATTGTTGTAATCAGATTTACAGATTTTGCTCTTAAAGACGACCCATATTTTTCCCTAATCTTGAAAAATATAAAACCCCAAAATTAAAAGAACATGGAGCTTAAAGAAGATGCATCAAACAAAAAACTCCAAGACAAACTCCCTATAAAATCGATTTTACCCTTTGATTTCAGGTACTCCTACTCCTGAGACCAACACTTGCATCAAACTCAATTGGGTTCGAGAAACCCCTAAAATTTCTCCGTCTGGAACAGTAGCTCTATTGCAACAGGAAGACAACATTGCCAAGGTCTAAGAAGAGCATGATTCACCGTCTACCATACGTCACTATATCCTCTGCCATAAGCCGCCATCATGCATTATCCCCATCACGACTATCATATCAGATGCAATCACCATGTTCATTGATTCGTCTGGAGGCTGAAACACGTACAGTTGAATACTCGAAGGAAGGAAGGAAAGAACAAATATGAACCAATGTTTCTTAATTTAGGGCTTCAATTTTAGAGAAGGAATCAGATGGGTTTAGGGATAAGAGATCACCAACTTTGTTTCGCTCACGGGATCTCTCCCTAGTACAGGTCAAGAAGCTTATTCTACCTCTTCTTTGACTTGATGGCTGGTAAAAAACTCAAAAGGTTGGGGATTGATTGATTGATTATATTGGTGATTAAGGTAAATGTGTAACATTCCGTTTAAAATAAATAAATAAATAAATAAACCCTAAAACCCCGAGATGTATTTTATATTTTTATTTTATTTTAGTCCTAAATCCGTAATAATTTATCAGTGTTAGCCATAAGGAGTTAAATGTTATAATCTTTGGAATTTGGGATCTAATATTGTAACATTCGGACTTGAAATGTAAAGAATTTCGTGGAGCAGGGGTTGTTTGGTAAGTTGTGGATCTGATTTGAAAATGAATAGAGAAGGAGGGGCCGAAAATGTCAAATAGAATGAAGTTTGAAGGTGGAGGCGGGTCTAAAACCCGTCACCTCCTCTTCCCTTGCATCTGATCCAAACCCTAACCCTACATCACTTCCCCAGCCGCCACCTTATCACCCCCTCACCTACAGTCGCCGTGTAACACCCCAAATTTCAAGCAAATTTTCACATTTTGAAAACACCTTATTTCATAATATTATAAAACTCATTGTTTTATACATCCAAACATAAGTCAAAATCCCAAGATCATAACATATATAAAACACCGCGTGTGTGTACTGATCATGTCGGCGCCTTCCCGCGATCTTCACTAGTACCTGAAACACATAACACAAAAACACTGTAAGCACAAAGCTTAGTGAGTTCCCCAAAATACCACACATAACACATACTAGCCACTCGAAGCTATAACTCTGCGGGCCCTTGGACCCTAACTCTGTGGACCCTCTGGTCCTAGCTCTGTGAACCTTTCGGTTCCAACTCTGATATACTCTGACATATACACGGCATAAATCACATAGAAATAATGCAGTGCAACACATAAATAGCATACAACAACTCTGTCACATAACTCTAATTACCTACTCAAGGTAAAGTATAGTGAGAAGACTCACCACGATGTCTCGGTAAATAGCTGACTCGGAAGAAGTGTGATCTAGCCTCCGCCTAATCACATAAAGTAATACTCTCATAAATACAACTGTACTCAACCCTAAAAGTCAACAAGGTCATCGGTCAAACTTTGACCCGACTCGTCGAGTGCACTAGGGCGACTCGGCGAGTCTACACGTGTCCACTGACTCTCTTAGATCCTCTCTTGGCACGTCGAGTACTTCCCTTGTCTCGACGAGTTCCACCTGGCATGAATCGCGGGGCCACCCCGACTCAACTCGCTGAGTCTCAAGAACAACTCGGTGAGTTCCAACTTAAACTCGGACTCCTGACCCTCCCTGACTCACCGAGTCGTTCCCCCAACTCGACAAGTCCACTCACTGAGTGATTAACGGGCAACCTTCATACTACTCGCCGAGTCTGTTCTTTGCACTCGGCGATTTCATGCCATGCACCAACTCAAAACAACTTCTGAGGTCAGATCTGTTCCATACAATCATAGATCTGGCCTCCCCAAGCATGATAATCACGTAAAGTTCGGACCTTGACACACATATAACATCTAAATGGTCTAAAATGATGATTTAGCCCCAAAAATGACATTCTAAGCTCATGACTCCCACAATGACTCATAAAGCTCCAAGGGTTAAGGTCTCTGGACCCCCTTCGGTCCAGATCCAGAACACGAACTCGAGAAGGGGCCAAATACTCCACTTAATCATCCTCTACAAGGGTTAGAAAACCCTAACACTAAGAATCAACACCAAAACTGAAGAAGATCCGAGAATAATACCTCAATACAATCTCTATGAGCTCAAAAACCACCAAAACCGCACCTCCTTCAGCTTCCTCTTGCCTTGAACACTTCCTTCTTGCAAAAATACCCACAAAAGTTCAAGATTGGCCTCTCCTTCCTCACAAGCACTCTAGATCACTTATTGTTTCTCTCTGGGGGTTGATGGCCGCAAATGACGGCCATAAGGGCCTTTAAATAGGTCCCAAACCCAGAAAAATTAGGGTTTCATTAAACAGCATGGACTCGCCGAGTCCGGTCATTAATCCGGATGAGAAATTGCGACCCTACTCGGCGAGTCTAAGCACCAACTCGCCGAGTCCCTCAACAAATTCCAAAATAAAATAATAAAATAGTATACCTGGGAATCCGGATGTTACACGCCGCCATCGCCTTGACACTTTCGTGGACCACCAAGCGACCACCACCGTTGACCTTCCCACCCCCCCCCCCCCCGACAGAAGAGAAATGTTTTATCCTCTTAAAAAACTTGCACTATCGACATTCAACCAGTGGCCAGGTGACCCTATCCTACTAGAGAATACGAAGGATACCTTGAACATCAAAAGATAGATCCAAGTGACCAGGTGATCATGTACCACAAGAACGATACTAATGGCGAGTGAGTGTTTTTTGACGAAACGAGTTGTGAATCGATTCCACAACTCCTAAGATGTTCCAAAAAGACTTGGTTTACAAAACTCATTTTCTTTATCACGACAAAAGGGAAATGATGATCTCATTAAGTTTCATTTTAATCTTCACTATGAAACAATTTGAGCAAATCAAAAGTTACAACAATAACGAATAAAAGTCGTTAGTAAAATTGACTAAGCATCTATCACGAAATCTATTCATGGACTGAAAAAATTACATAGATCACTTATGTATAATCTTTTGACAAGCCTTTTGTTCTTTAACCACTAATAGATAAAGACACTTGCGAATCATCTTCCCATATAAATAGGATCCACATATATCAGATGAACCAAACTCATTTGCCTTAAAA